CTGGAGCAGCCAGGGGGATGCTGAGGAGGAGGAGAGCCAGCCCTGGCCTGGGAGCTGCTGCCAAGAAAGATTATTAAGCCCTTGCAGAAATTTCCTCTGCAATACAGATTTTTTTCTGACTTCCATTAGAGCTGTGAAGGAATTACTGAGGAAAAGCCATGGGGGAGAAGCAGGGAGGGGGAGAAGTGCCTGACAGCTCCGTTGAGGGGCTTAGCTCACTGTAGGGTGATCCCAGGATTCCTGTTTCAGCAAAACCGGCATTCCCAGCAGAAGGCACCATGCTTAATCCAGCTGAAACGAAGCCCTGGCAATTAGCCGGCTGCTTTGGCAACTCCTGGTGATCCAGCAGCTGGCTGGAAGGTGGCACTTCTCCCGCTGCACTCCACTGAGTGCTTGTCTGTAAATCCTGGGATTTCTTCCCTGCCACTGAGGATTTCTTTTATCTTCTTTGGCCCGTTAGCAAATGGGCTCACGGCTGCTCCGTAGGGAATTGTTTTTGGGATGGCTGTGGAAAGCTTTCCAAGGGTTTCCGAGTCCTGCAGAGCCTGCAAGGACAGTCCTGGGAGTGAGGGCTCTCCAGCTCTGTCCTCTGGCACAGCGGATGGAGCGGGGTGGGATGAGGTGAGATCCCAGGGTGGCTGCATGGATCACATGTGGTGGGATGGGGTTGGATGTGAGCCTGGAGAGGACATTTGGTGACAGAGGGGACACGTGTCCGGTGGCTGTCGGAGTGCTGAGTTCTCCCTCAGCTCACTGAGGTGTTTCTCCTGCAGCTTCCCAAGACCCCCTGCACATCCTTGTCAGAGGTCCCAGGACGGGCTCCTTGGATCCAGTTTCCCACGTATTCCACATCCTGGAAGCCTCAGCCCTGCCAGTGACCCTGATGGAGTCTCTGCCCCCGCTTTCCCTCGGGCTGTGCTTGCTGTGGTGGGGGCTGCACGACCCCGGCTTCCGCAACCCCTGGGCTTCGACATTCCCTGGCATTTTCGGAGGGATTCAGGCAGCAGCTCCCTCCTGGGGGTGCCCTGTGGGAGGTTGGGGTACCCCCTGATCCCACTCTGCTCTCTTCCAGCTCACCCTGCAGAGCACCAAGTCCCGTGTGGCCTTCTTCGAGGAGCTCTAGGAAACAACTGCTCCGCACCGCTGCTGCTTCCCAAGGGCTCGGCCCAGCCGGGGCCTGTCCCGGGCCGGGGGCTCCCAGAGGGATCACCCCAGACCCCGCCGGCTGCTCCAGCCTCTCTGCACACCCACGGACTCGGGGCTGGCTGCCACGGACTGTGTGATGTTCTCTAGCTTAGCAGCCGCTCATCCTCCTCCTGACACTTTGTTTTCCTTGGGTTTCCAGCTTTTTTTCCTTATTTTTCTAGCATTGCTTCCAGGCTCGGCCCTCCAGGGGCTCCAGGCTTTTCCCTGGAGCCGGGGTCGGGGCTGTGGCCGTGCCTTCCCACCCTGGCAGCCAACAGAGGAGTGTGCCCGAGGGTCTCCCTGTGCTGGGAGGTGTTATCACCCCCCTGGATTGCCTTCTCCTGCCGGCTCTGGAGCCCCCTGTGCCGGTCTGGAGCTCCAGGTGCCGGCCCTGGATGCGCTGCTGGGCTCCCGGAGCCCCGTCAGGCGGCGGTGCCGGGAGCTCCATTAGGATCCCGAGCATGTTCCAGTGGAGTGCTGTAAATCAGGAACGTCGTGCTGGCTCTCCCAGCGCCCGCTGGGGTGGGAGAGGAGCAGGGAGTGGGAGGACAGGGACCTGGGGCTGGGGGGAATCCTGGGCAGCTTCCCTGGGAACAGGAGGTGGGAGGAAGGGCTCCTCCTCCTCCTCCTCCTCCCTGCTGGGAACAGGGAGCGGGAGAACAGCTAGTGCCAACCAAATGAAACCTTACTGTTCCTGCAAACTGTGACCAACCTGGGCAGCTTCAGGCTGGGGGGATCCAGGGGCTCCGGGCTGGGCTTTCCCTGGGTCCCGGGGCATCCCAGCCCCTCGGAGCCCCCCAGGAATGCCGGGCTGGGCCCGGGGCTGCCTGCTCCTGCCTGTCCCATCGCGGGTGCCTTTGCCCTGACCCCCCACGCGGGGGAAACAGGGATGCCCTGACCTCCCCTTCCTGTCTCCATCCCAAATCCTGTGCACCTTTCAGCTGGAATCCTCTTCCAGCTGCGTTTACCCTCCAGCAGAGCCGGTGCTGCCCCGGGGATCCCTCACATCCCCTCAGGACCCCCAATTCCTCACCTGCCCCACAGCCACAGCAGAGGCTCAGCCCGGGGCTTGGCGTGGAGTAAATCCCATCCCAGTCCTGTTTATTGAAGCCCTGGGATCGATTCCCCGCACGTGGCTGCGGTTCGGATGGCTGTGGCCTGGCACAGCCGCTTTCCCATTCCCTGGACTGTTGTACTCTGAAGGAATAACTGTTTTCTCCTGTTTTAATAAAAATTCACAGCACTAAGAGGGGAGCTGAGGCTTCTTTGCTGATTTTTCTTTGGGAAAAACTGCTCCGAGCCCAGCTGCCGCAGTTGGCGGTGCCGGGATTAATGGGAAGCACAGCTGCAGTGCTGGGATCCCTCCGGCAGCTCCCGTGGGACCGGGAGGGCTCCAGGGTCCCCCTGTCCCGGTTCCCTCGGGGCTCTTCTCATCCCTCCTTGAGGGAAGAGAGGTTTGGGGTGCCCAGAGGGGCTGAGCCCCTTGTTTGCCGTCCCTGATGCTTCCCGATCCCGTCCTGCCTGGAATAAATAAAGGATGTGCTGCATTGACCTCAATTTTATAATTAATCACGGATGAAACCGGCCCAGCCCAGCGAGCCGCGACCCCCGGGGCTGTTCCCGGCGATGGATTCGCTTCTCATGCGCTCCCCGGCAGCAAAATCCCGGGGGATTCACCGCAGCTTCCACCGGAGCTCGTCCCCGCGGGCGGGCTGCGGGATATTTTCCGGTTTTTGTTTTTTTAAGCAGAGGGGGGTGGGAGGGGGTTTCTTTTGGCAGAGGGATGCCAGTGGGATACCCACGGGAATTCTGGGGAGGCTGAAAGCAGCCGGCGAGGGATGTGGAGGGTGACCTGATTTCCCACGCGGCCTCCAGCGACAGGAATTCAACTGGTGTGTCACCTGCACCACCTGCATCCTGAAATCCATCAGGAGAGCTTTTCCCAGCACAGGGCAGCAGGGCAGGGGGAGAAACTGGGAATGCACAGGGGGTGGATGTGCAGGGATGGATGGGCTGGGATGGATGGGCTGGAATCTGGAGGGATGGATGGCTGGGATGGATGGGCTGGGATGGATGGCTGGGATGGATGCACTGAAGATACACCAGGTGAAGCCAGGGATGGATCCAGCACAGACCCACCTCTGGCAGAGGGATCCCTGCTGCTCCCAGGGGCTCTGCACAAAGCACTGCACACTCCCAGCCTTGCACACTCAGAGTTCTGCACACCCCCAGTGTTACCTCTCTCACTCCCAGCCTGGTGCCATCTCCCTGCCCGCCCTCCCTGGCACATCCCAGACCATTTCTCTCCTGTCAAAGGAAGTTTCACCCCGATTTTTTCCCCTTTTAGCAAACTGAACTCAACAGGAGCGGTGGGTGTGGGTTGGTGTGAGCTGCCTTTGCTCAAGGAAAAGAAAGCATCAAAAATCCTTTGCCATGCACCTCTCCCAGCCCCTTCCTCAGCCACGGGCTCCTGAGGAAAGAAATTGGGGATTTGGCCAATCCCAGGCAGCACCTGAGTGCTTTGGCAGCAGTTCCTCACTCTGGGGCTCCCAAAGTCTCCTCAACTCACATTATTTCACTCCTAAACTTCCAAAAATTTTACTTTTAAATACTCTCAGAAATAGAATAAAATGTTGAGAGCTAGGGATGAAAGGGACAGAGAGGACACAGGGTGACCTGTGGGTGGCAAGTCTGGAGGGGTGTCAGGATGCTGGTTCAGAGCCCGCCCAAAACGTGCACAGCTTTGGCCAGCAGCTCCTTCAGGAAAAGAGTTTGGAATGGGCAGAGAGGGTGAGTGGGAAAACTGAGGCAGGCATGGCCTGTGCAGCCCAGGGGCTGCTGGTGTGGCCTCCCCACCACCACGGGCTGCTGCTCCATCCCTCCCTCTGTGCTCCTGCATCCCGGGGTGCTGCCCAGTCATGGGGACCATGGGGGACAAGGGATGGGGTCACTGTGGGGACCTGGCAAAGGGCTGGGGGGCTCCTGCACATGTGGGGGGTGGGAGCATGAGGGAAGGGTGGGAGCACGAGGACACAGGGCCACCACAAGGACAGGCTGGAGCTGGGGGGACCAGGGCACCCCAGGGTTGTGGCTCTGCAGGGTCACCCTCTGCCCACCCACATCAGGGTGGGAACTGGGGGAGCAGCCCATGAGACACCCCAGCCCTGCCCCTGGGCATCCCGGGCTGCTCAGGGCACCCTCAGGTCTGGGAAGGTGAGGAGGAGAAACCTGGAGGTGACAGCCAGCTGGATCCTGCTCCCTTCAGACAGTGCCTTGAGGACATGGGGACCTCATTCCCCCTTGGCTGACGGTGGCCAGCGACTGTCTCCATCCATCCATCCATCATCCATCCATCATCCATCCATCCATCATCCATCCATCCATCATCCATCATCCATCCATCCATCATCCATCCATCCATCATCCATCCATCATCCATCATCCATCCATCATCCATCCATCCATTCATCCATCCATCATCCATCCATCATCCATCATCCATCATCCATCCATCCATCATCCATCCATCATCCATCCATCCATCCATCATCCATCCATCATCCATCCATCATCCATCCATCATCCATCCATCCATCATCCATCCATCCATCATCCATCCATCATCCATCCATCTATCCCTCCATCCATCATCCATCATCCATCCATCATCCATCCATCATCCATCCATCCATCATACATCATCCATCCATCATCCATCATCCATCATCCATCATCCATCATCCATCCATCCATCATCCATCCATCATCCATCCATCCATCCATCATCCATCCATCATCCATCCATCATCCATCCATCATCCATCNCCCCAGGACCCCCCAGGACCCCCCAGACCCACGGGGTCCTCCCGGTAGCGCCCCAGCAGCTCCAGCTCCAGGGTCTGGCTCTGCTCGGCGAAGCCGCTGAGGAAGAGGCCGGCGAAGGCCGCGGTGTGCAGGGCCCGCAGCAGGCGGGAGCGGTAATGGAGCATGGCCTGGGCACGGGGACCGCGGGGACACCGTCAGTGCCAGCAGAAACGACCAAATTCAAACAGATCCGACCAAATTCAAACAGATCCGACCAAATTCAAACAGATCCCACAAAATCCAATCGAAATCAAACCAGATCCGACCAAATCCAACCAGATCCCACAAAATCCAACCAAAATCCAAACAGATCCCACAAAATCCAATCGAAATCCAAACAAATTCAACCAGATCCCACAAAATCCAACCAAAATCCGACCAAAATCCAAACAGATCCCACAAAATCCAAACAGATCCCACAAAATCCAACCAAAATCCAACCAAAATCCGACCAAAATCCGACCAAATCCAACCAAAATCAAACCAAAATCCGACCAAAATCCGACCAAAATCCGACCAAATCCAACCAAAATCAAACCAAATCCAACCAGATCTGACCAAATCCAAACAGATCCCACAAAATCCAAACAGATCCCACAAAATCCAACCGAAATCCGACCAAAATCCAAACAGATCCCACAAAATCCAATGGAAATCCAAACAAAATCCAAACAGATCCCACAAAATCCAAACAGATCCCACAAAATCCAACCGAAATCCAAACAAAATCCAAACAGATCCCACAAAATCCAACCGAAATCCGACCAAAATCCCACAAAATCCGACCAAATCCAACCAGATCCCACAAAATCCAACCAGATCCCACAAAATCCAACCAGATCCCACAAAATCCAAACAGATCCCACAAAATCCAATGGAAATCAAACCAAATCCAACCAGATCCGACCAAATTCAAACAGATCCCACAAAATCCAAACAGATCCCACAAAATCCAACCGAAATCAAACCAAATCCAACCAAAATCAAACCAAATCCAACCAGATCTGACCAAATCCAAACAGATCCCACAAAATCCAACCGAAATCTGACCAAATTCAACCAGATCCCACAAAATCCAAACAGATCCCACAAAATCCAAACAGATCCCACAAAATCCAACCAAAATCCAACCAAAATCCGACCAAAATCCGACCAAATCCAACCAAAATCAAACCAAATCCAACCAGATCTGACCAAATCCAAACAGATCCCACAAAATCCAACCAAAATCCAAACAAAATCCAAACAGATCCCACAAAATCCAACCAAAATCAAACCAAATCCAACCAAAATCAAACCAAATCCAACCAGATCTGACCAAATCCAAACAGATCCCACAAAATCCAAACAGATCCCACAAAATCCAACCGAAATCTGACCAAAATCCCACAAAATCCGACCGAAATCCAACCAAAATCCAAACAGATCCCACAAAATCCAACCGAAATCAAACCAAAATCCGACCAAAATCCGACCAAAATCCCACAAAATCCGACCGAAATCCGACCAAATTCAACCAGATCCCACAAAATCCAACCGAAATCTGACCAAATCCAAACAGATCTGACCAAATCCAACCAGATCCCACAAAATCCAACCAAAATCCGACCAAAATCCAAACAGATCCCACAAAATCCAATCGAAATCTGACCAAAATCCCACAAAATCCGACCGAAATCTGACCAAATCCAACCAGATCCCACAAAATCCAACCGAAATCAAACCAAAATCTGACCAAAATCCGACCAAAATCCCACAAAATCCGACCGAAATCCGACCAAATCCAAACAGATCCCACAAAATCCAACCAAAATCCAAACAAAATCCAACCAGATCCGACCAAATCCAACCAAATCCCACAAAATCCGACCGAAATCAAACCAGATCCGACCAAAATCCAAACAGATCCCACAAAATCCAATCGAAATCCAACCAAAATCCCACAAAATCCAACCAAATTCAACCAAATCCCACAAAATCCAATGGAAATCTGACCAAAATCCAAACAGATCCCACAAAATCCAACCAAAATCCAACCAAATCTGACCAAAATCCAAACAAATTCAACCAGATCCCACAAAATCCAACGGAAATCAAACCAAAATCCCACAAAATCCAACCAGATCCGACCAAATTCAACCAAATCCCACAAAATCCAATCGAAATCCAAACAAAATCCAACCAAATCCGACTGAAATCCAAACAAATCCCACAAAATCCAACCAGATCTGACTGAAATCCAACCAGATCCAATCAAAAAACACCCAAATCCCACCCAAATCCAACCAAAATCCATCCAGATCCACCAAAAATCCAACCAAATCCACCCAAAAACCATCTAAATCCAATCAAATTCAACCAAAATCCAATCAAATGCAACAAAATCCAACCAAAATCCAATCAAATGCAACAAAATCCAACCAAAATCTGACCGAAATCCATCTAGCTCCCACAAAATCCAATCAAATCCCACAAAATTCAACCAAATTCAACCAAAAACTCAACCAAATCCAACCAAAATCCAACCAAAAAACACCCAAATCCAACCAAATCAAATCAAATCCAACCAAAATCCATCCAGATCCAACGAAATCCAACCAAATCCAACCAAATTCCACAAAATCCAATCAAATCCCACAAAATTCAACCAAAACCCATCCAGATCCACCCAAAATCCTGGGAATTCCAGCCCAAATCCCACAAAATCCAACCCAAATCCAACCAAATCCCACCCAGATCCACCCAAATCCCACCCAAATCCAACCAAATTCCACGAAATCCACCCAAATCCCACCCAAATCGCACAAAATCCAACCAAATTCACCCAGAAACCATCCAGATCCAACCAAAATTCAACCAAATCCAATCAAAACCCAACCAAATCCAACCCCAAATCCAATCAAATTCCACAAAATCCAACCAAATTCAACCAAAATCCATCCAGATCCAACCAAAAAACACCCAAATCCCACAAAATCCAACCAAATCCACACAAAAACCATCCAGATCCAACCAAAATTCAACCAAATCCAACCAAATTCAACCCAAATCCCACCCAAATCCCACAAAATCCAACCCAAATCCCGGGAATTCCAGCCCAAATCCACCCAAATCCAACCGGATCCAACCGGATCCCAAAAAACCCATCCAGATCAACCCCAAATCCACCCCGATCCTGGGAATTCCAGCCCAGGAACCTCAAAATTCCCCAAAATCCCGGGAATTTGGTCCCAAAAACCTCAAATTCCCCCAAAAAAATTCCCCCAAAACCCCTGGAATTCCTCACGGAGCGCGAGGCCGAGCCCGGGGCTCTCCCTGATCCCGACATTCCCGACATTCCTGACATTCCCAATACAATTCCTGATATCATTCCTGACATTCCCAATGTTCCCATTCCCGACATTCCCAACATTCCCGATACAATTCCCGATACAATTCCCGACATTCCCGACATTCCCCACTCACCGATCTCGAGGCCGTGCCTGGGGCTCTCCCTGATCCCATTCCCGATATTCCCGATATTATTCCCGATACAATTCCCGATACAATTCCCGATATTCCCGACACAATTCCCGCTGTCACTCACGGATCTGGAGGCGGTGGCCAGGGTTTTCCCGCCGCTCCCGTAGCACGTCAGCCTCACCATGAACATCCCGACATTCCCGATATTCCCGATATTCCCGATACAATTCCCGATATTCCCGATAGCATTCCCGATATTCCCGATATTCCCAATGACATTCCCGACATTCCCGATATTCCCGCATTCCCGATATTCCCGATATTCCCAATGATATTCCCGACATTCCCGATATTCCCGATATTCCCGATACAATTCCCGACATTCCCGATATTCCCGATACAATTCCCGATATTCCCGATACAATTCCCGATATTCCCGATATTCCCGATACAATTCCCGATATTCCCGATATTCCCGCTGTCACTCACGGATCTGGAGGCGGTGGCCAGGGTTTTCC